GGAATTTTGTCTTATTGCCTTTAGTGGTCTTTACTTTTCTAACTTATAAATATGTCCTCGGATTTCATGATTTGTAACAGATAATTTGAACAACTTTTCATAGTCAAAATTGTCTATTTTGTGGACATGTTTAAAAACTTCATATCATATCTCCACGCTGACATCTATAAAATCAAGAGTTGGTAAATTCAATGCCCATGTGCCAAATGTTCATATGCGAGTTCTTTTAGTTCAGGGATGATTCTTGTAGCTCTTCTTTGGGTATTTTCCAATTGTTTATTTGTCTTTGTTACAGAGTAATAAATGATATTTCAATAATCTGTTATTGGTCTTATAAGACCTTTAAACAATAACATAAACTGCTTCTTATCCATGTAACTAAAACTTCTTTTTAGCAAACGTATATGAGAGTTCACTTTATTAACAGTAAGACCGATAAGCTCATCAAATTTCAAATTAGATGTGAAGTTAGTACCTAGGTTTTTTTCCTTGTCAATGATTTCAATGTCAACATCAATATCCAGTGTTGTCTTTCATCAAAATTGCTGTTTCACATTATCTTACATTTGTTAGAGTTGAATCTGAGTAACCAGTTGTCACTCCATTCACATAGTGTTTTAATTTTGAAGCAATTGGTGATCAGACAAATTTCTCATAATTCGATATAATTTTGTATCATCAGCAAAGAGTCTACAAACATTTAACTGCCTCCGAAATATCATTCACAAAGATAACAAACAATAATGGACCTAATACTGTAAAATTGCGCCACAGATATATAAACAACAGATAAGAAACAATGAAAATAGACAAGAATCCTATTCAGACCCACAATCCTGCGCGCTTCGTTGATAATCTGGCTTTCCCGCTGGTCTCTGATTTTCATGCTTCGTTAAACTTCTGCGATATCGTGAATAATTGCTTACATTGCCGACATGGATTTTCATCTGAGAAATATTTGTGTTGAAAAATGTGTTTTGTACACTTTAGAATATAAGTTTGTTTGTTTGTTTGTTTGTTTCATTTTACGCCTTTTTCCAACAGTATTTCAGTCATATAGGCGGGTAGTTTCCTAACCATCGTTCCTGGAGAGTTACACCAGTACTAGACTACCTTCCTCCATGCTAAACTACCAAAGCATCTCCCGGGGATCGAACCCACGCCAGAGAGGTAACTGGATTAGAAGTCATCGACTCTAACCCCTCGACCACGGAGGCGGCTTAGAATATAAGTAAAAAATGTTTAGTCTTTTTTGTTGATGTACCTCGGGGAATTCAATATGGCGGTATTTTGGCTACTTTTATCCAGAATGCATCAAATCTCGCAAAATCTCGCGACATGTGATAACTTGCGGGAACACAATTCCGCTGGTACTGATTTTAACTGTGTGACATCGCAGTCTCTTCTCCATCTTATATTTAGCTCCATGATTGCTCATGTGTCAAAATCGTCAACTTCCTCTATTTTTTTGTTTTTAACATTTTTAAATATTCTTTTATCTTCTTTTAAGCAACTCTTTTTAACTTTCTTGATTTTTGATGCACAGACATGTCTACGCCCCCGCAAGGGATTTGAAATTAACGGAAGATATTTGAAACAAGCAAATTCGTTGAATTTATATCCCCCGCCGAGTACTGGTTATTATCAACACAACAACTTAAGACATAAGGCTTTATTTATATATTAATCATGGCATAAACAGTAATATTCTTTGAACTTGATAAATATTCAGGGCAATAACAGAGCCATAACTTTGTGTTAAATAGTAAAATCTGGAAATGCCAATGAGATGTATGCATACTACATAACTAATCAAGGGCCATAAATCTGAGTTATAAGTATCTGACTGGAACAAGGCGACTATATGCACATCTCCTCTTAGTATCCCATAAAGTTTCATTGAATTCCAGCCAGTAGTAGCAGAGAAGTAGCGAGGAAACAAATATTTTTCTATATGGATACTGCATAACTAATCAAGGGCCATAACTCTGAGTTAAAGTGTCTGACCGGAACAAGCCAACGATATGCGCATCTCCTCTTGGTATTGAAGGTTCCCATAAAGTTTTGTTGAATTCCAGCCAGTAGTTGCAGAGAAGTAGTGCGGAAACGATTTTTACTCTATATGCATACTACATAACTAATCAAGGGTCATAACTCTGGAGTTAAAGGGTCTAACCGGAACAAGCCGACGATATGCGCATCTCCTCTTGATATTGATGATTCCCATAAAGTTTCATTGAATTCCCGCCAGTAGTTGCAGAGAAGTAGTGCGGAAACGATTTTTACTCTATATGCATTTTGCATAACTAATCAAGGGCCATAACGCTGTGTTAAAATGTCTGACCGGAACAAGCCGACGATATGCACATCTCCTCTTGATATTGATGATTCCCATAAAGTTTCGTTGAATTCCAGCCAGTAGTTGCAGAGAACTACTCCGGAAACGATTTTTACTCTATATGCATACTACATAACTAATCAAGGGCCATAACTCTGAGTTAAAGGGTCGGACCGGAACAAGCCGACGATATGCCCATCTCCTCTTGATATTGATGATTCCCATAAAGTTTCGTTGAATTCCAGCCAGTAGTTGCAGAGAACTACTCCGGAAACGAAATTCGGACGGACGGACGGACCAATTTTTCAGGTTTATGAGCTATTTCTATTGTTCTTTTCTTTTGTTTCCTTGTGGGCTAACTATTGTTTCCTTACGAGCTAACTATTATCTACGGAAAGAAGTCCTTTGTTCTCTTTTGTTCCAGTATACCGTTAGTTAGCTCATATACCTAAAATGTTTGTGCGGAAGGACGGACGGACGGACAACGCCAAAACTATATCCCCCTCCCGATTCCATCGGCGGGGGATAATTAACGGAAGATAGATAGAAAGGATACTGATCCTTGCATGTAGTTTCCATAGGATCTCGAGAACAGGACCGCAGATTGCGGCGCATATTTTCGATCTTGTAACAGTTTTATAAACATTTCTGCTACATCTAAATATCTTTTAGTATTATCTGAGTATATGGCCTCAAAAAATATATTATCAATTGAACCCAATCTGTCTCTTTTTAAAACTGCTCAAATTTTACGGTCTTATAAAAAAAAGACAAGGAGTGACATCCGCCATTCGCCGCAACGTTTTCGGCATGAGTTTTTCCCCTTTGGCTACAATTGATTACAATTTTTTTCAGAATTTTGTTCCCATTATTTTTGTCAACTATCAGGTATCGTCCGGATATAATGTTCATGGTTTATTGTTTACACATGTTGACATGTATAAGCAGCATTATAACAGGCGTATTCATGTTTTGATTTGTTAACATGGAGAAAACAGACACTGTAGTAATATGGTCCAACTGATTTTGCCTAACTGAAAAAGGAATATTAAAACATGATCCATGGATAAATATTTTAGGCACTCATCTGGTATTCATTACTAGGAAATAAGGCTCTCACGTTTACAATTTTTTGTAAACGTTTACACGATTGCTAAGAACCGAAACGATACCGTTTAAACGGTGGTACTTGTTTGTACTATACTACACCATGTATTCCAAGTCTCCGAATGATGATTTACTTTTTATTTACAAATAATTTAATGTTCAGGGCTCATCAATTCATGATTGAGTCCACACACATTTTCTGCATTGTATCCTCATTTCACTCTTTTGAAAGATCAAAGGATAATCAACTTTACCAATGTATTATGTCACGATTAGTGCACGGTAATGCTGTGTGGAGGGTTGTAAATACCTATTTTCCGTATTTTACTTTGGAATAAACCAATTACAATTGATAGAATTCATGATTACAGGCAATGATTAAGATATTTTGTAAGACAATATAGTCATTTCGATTAAACGGTAAAAATTATCGTAAACGTTTTCGACTGAAAATCGAAACGAATCCGTTTAAACGCGTAACCGTGGGGGCCTTACAAGAGAGTACTAAAAAAATTAAAACAAAAATCAAGCATATCAAAGGCAGTGTTTTTTTTTCTCACTTTTTGGGGAAGGGGGTCGGTGCCGTTTGGAGGGGGAAAAATGCAAAAGGAGGAGGAATTTTATTTCTTCACAAATGAAGAAACAAAAACGAATCCAATGCATATTTTAATACATCACTTACCACTGTAAGATTTACTTTTGTTTGACAACACAAGTTTAAAATTCATCGCTTTTTCTTAATATACGGATCTAAAATATTGACAGCAGAATTTAAAGCGTTGCATGTTTAACTTGTTGGGATGCCAGGAGTAGCTCCCCTTACATACCCGGGAACAATTTGTAAACAACTTTGATAATTTACACTAAGTCTTACAGGCTTAATATAAAACAATTTTCGGCAGTTATATGCAAAAAAATGGTATTCATTGCAGGCAAATTTTGGCTGCCATATGAGGGGGAAATTTCGGCTTTGAGAGGGGAAAAAAACACTATTTTGAGAAGGGAATGGGGCTGAATTTTGCCGAATATTTTTGTGAAAAAAAAACACTCAAAGGAGATAACTTACACCAAACGTTGCGGAAAATGGCGGATGTCACTCCTTTTCTATTTTCAATATACCGTAAATTTGACTTATTTTTAAATTAGCAGATTATATTAAATTTAGATTAGATAATTAAAGACTACCCGCTCGCATAATAAGAAAAGATATTCAAAGGTCGGAAAAACAATATGTAAAGCGGGTACGGATTCAGATTTATGCGCCCCAATATGCAGTCCTGTTCCAGAGTTCCTATGGTATCTAATTTCCTATTATTTGGATAGAGACCCTCTGAAAAATGTTTCATCTTTATTACCTTTATGACACTATATGATCTCCAAGGTTAAAGCATTTTTGACACTAGATGCATGATTCAATTTTTTATGGAAGTCCACTAGGCATTGTGATACGCCAAAGGGAATGGCGGCTAGCCACTTCCATCCGCTATCCGGCAACCACGACACTTCCCCGAAATAAATTATTACAAACAATGACTAATATCAAAGTCATACATACCAACAAAATTAGAATAATGACCAACTTGAAGCGTCACTAGTTCTCTATTAGCCATTGTATACTGGATCGAGATAATATAAATAAATGTTTAGACGATTTTTCACATGTTAGGACCAAATTGTCGAGATTATTGTATATATATCACCGGTCATTGGAAAATTTGAGTATCGAAAAAGTTCTTTACGCGGAAACGATAATCTTAGCGGGTAGGGGATAGATATGTCTTGTTTATTATTGTAATTGATTATAAGTAAAATTTGATCGATGAAATATAAATGTGAAAAAAAAAATCAAAATTTAATTGAAAAAAATGTCTGTAACATTACTGTATGGAAATTAACTGTATCCCACTGTAACCTTGTGTAACCCTTATGTCCCTGTATTCCGTGTCATGAGGGTATTGAGAAGAATTGTAAAAAAATGTAACGATAATATTTATTTCAACCACGGATTTATATTAAATATAAATTCGTGTTTCAACATAAATTGAAAGACAATTTACTGTTAACATACAAGTGAAACCTTTATTACATTTACAACATTTTTAAAATACTTGTTTGATTTATTATTTACATACTGCTTCATTAGTCCTAGGACAAAAAATATCCTAACTTTCCCCAAAAAGTGCAGATTTCTCGAAAAGTTGATCATACCGACTGTTAAAATCATTATGAATCTTAAAGCTCTTTCCTGAAAATGTCTCTATTTTCCTAGTGCTTAATTCATTTGAAAAAGCCAATAGTTAAATTAAAATTTGTCATAACAAAATAGTAGTATATATATTGTGAGTCTATTTAAACTATTATAAGATGTTTAACAATTCTCTTCATAACATTCAATGGTTTGATGTTAGGTAGTGATTAAACGCAATGTATCTAGTTTGTTGATATATTTTAAGTGTCTTTATCATCATTATTTAGTTGAATTTTATCCTTTGTTTTTAGGATTACACTCTGTACATTATTTCAGGCACAAAACGTGCACCTGAGTAGAACCACCGACGTTCAGTAAGCTAGCTGGATAGCTTTCTCACATGAAGAATCCGAAGACGCTTGGGATTCTCAAAACTTCAGCGGTTCGAATTTAACAACTATATACTCGGCCATGGACACACCCATATTTTTTTGTTACAAGTATGTTGATAAATTGCTATGTTCTGATAAAATAGTTTGGAAAAAATATGTGCCTTACAAAAGTGTATGTGTGTTTCTTTTTAAATAATAAATAATAAAAAAAACATCACATCATAGTTTCTGTTATGCATAATTTATTGTGCAAATATCATTAATGGATATGAAATGCTTTGTACAAGTATGATGATAATTAAATTGTTAAGTTTTGACATTGAATAAAAGTGTCTGATAAAATACTTTAGAAAAATACTAAGTCTTGCCTAAATGAATTAATAAAAAAGTAATAAAACCTCATAGAAACTGTAACTGTAAAAGTTAGTTTGCACACCCGGATTAGCTGGGAAAGTCCAAAATATTCTTTATTCTGGTGTAAAATTCTGGAAACAAAGTGATCCCTCGGAAGCACTAATCACAACAAAATCACATAAGAATTGCAGACTCGGTTTGATTGAGTCTGTACATGAGGGATCATGAATAAGTGCAACATCCCTCACGCCCCCTAGCACCGGCTTGAGCGGTACTCAACTCTCAACACTTGATAGTGTTGGCATCAATGATCCCGAAGGACCAGAAAATATAACAACACTGAAGTGAAGTACGGGGCAACTTTTTACGGCTGCCACACAGCACTTGACACCTGCTGTGAAGTACAAAATTCTGGAAACAAAGTGATCCCTCGGAAGCACTAATCACAACAAATCACATAAGAATTGCAGACTCGGTTTGATTGAGTCTGTACATGAGGGATCATGAATAAGTGCAACATCCCTCACACCCCCTAGCACCGGCTTGAGCGGTACTCAACTCTCAACACTTGATAGTGTTGGCATCAATGATCCCGAAGTCTATTTTAAAGAAAAACACAAAAATAATATACTCAGTACACCTTTTACATATAAATACAGATGAAGTTTTTTTTTCTGTCAATATATATTTTAAAACAAAATTTTAATAAAAAGCACTCAATTTCTTAGTCATATACATGTATATTGATTCTTCTCTCCACTGAATTTCAAATAGAAATTCTATCTGAAAGATCCTGTTCTCTCAAGGGAAACTTTAAGAATGTTTCATTTTTTTTTTTGTGGAATTATTAAAAATGTGATTTGAATTTCCTAGATTCAGATTGTCTAAAACAAAAAGTGGCTTTGCTTCGCTATGCAAAACAAGCTGCATAAGCACGAGAACCTTGCATGACCATTCCGCACTTTGTGTTTGTTCCGCGAAAAAGAAACTTTCGATATTTATTAATCAGGGTATACAAATGTTTTGGAAAAGCGTGCGTTCGTGTGATTTGACAATTTTGACTTAAAAATGTCTAAAATCAAACATGTTAGGTTATTAGCAAGGACAGTCCTTGTAAAGAACAATGACATTGAAAAATCAAACGATCTTCTGAACAGGTAAATCATAATGACAAAATATCAAAAATTAAAAGTTGATGACCTTGATGAAAGATCGGTAGTCTATTCTCTCTCTTACCAGTTCCTACCCTGGCGTTTCCTCACTGACAGTGCTCCCCCATATTCGGGAAAAACTGTCTGCATTTTGCAAATTATATATGCAGACTGTTTCTCCCGCTAAACAGACATTTTACTCCCAATTCAGTTATCACTGACTTAACGTTTCCAACCAATTTGGTGTTTTGCTAGGCATTCTCAGGGATCGAAAATTCCACTCATCCACACGTATAGGTAGTCAGACTATTCTCTCCCTTACCAGTTCCTCCCCTGACGTTTCATCCCTGACGGTTCTCTCCCTATTTTGGGGGAAAACTGTCTGCATATTTGCAAATAAGAAGACAGTTCCTCCCCATTCTTATTTTTATAATTACATTATTATTAAAGTATTTAGATAATAAATCAATGGGTAAATCTATTATCAATACACCCATAAACACTTTTCTTATGAACTACGTAAATAACCGAGGTATATCGAGTGAAAAAATACGAGTTGTTTCCCTTATCTTCGAGTAAAATTGGTATCTCTTATGCAAAAACAATACAAATTAAGCCATTTTTAAACCGCTAGTTTGTTGTGATTAAATGTCCGATTTTAAAAAATATTACATCAATGGAAAGCTTGGGATCTTAGCTTTGCCACAGTATATAAATTTAACATATTTTTTGTCACCAAAGTATTTAAATTAACTGTTAAACCTACCATATGTCAGACCATTTTACATACGATTTATACAGTGAGATACGCAACCGGTTATCTTTACTCGAAAACCTACTGATAAGAATAGCCTGTCGTCTGCTAGTTTGGGAAAGTGTTTATTGGTGTATTGATATAAATTAGAAAAAATAGATTTTATTGAAGTTGTTAAATAAATGGGTAGGTTCATTATAAATTGATATAAATTAGAGAGAAAAATACTTTAATGAAGTATTCAGATGTTTAATTCAAGTTTCAATTTTGTTAGCATCATCAGCAATAATAAATCGGTAAGTTTATTACCAAAAATTAATATAAATTAGAGAAAAAAATATTTTATTGAAGTATTTAGATGTTTAATAAATTTGTAACTTTATTATCAATTGATATAAATTGAATTAGAAAATAATTTTTTTTAACATATAATAATCATTGATCAATGATGATATTAGTTAATAATTCTGATTTTTTAATTAGATGTAATGTATTCTTTTTAATGTGTTTAGTCATTGGTCATTGAAAATAATAAATGAATAATTTACTTGATTAGGATAATCATAAGATATTATTATTTTTATTTTTTTTTAATAAATAAAAATGAAATATATAGGCAAAAAATGATTAATAAATTTTAAGTTTAATGAAAAAAGGAGTTCCATACACACATGTATGCTTTAAATTTGCTGTCAGAGATAATTGAGGTGTTTATTAATTCATTACTCAAGAATCAAGGTGTTGATAAGATTAAAATAGCTGTGAAAAGGTGTTGGTGAATAAGTATTATATTAGTTATTTGGTATTATATATCGTTTCAAGTTAAAGTTACATTAAATAAATATGTAAAAATATTTTGCCGTCGGCCTAAAAATCAAACATTCTACAGTTTCATTAACCTGTTTAATAGTATTGTTGTAAATCTCATCAAATATTGTTCATAAATAAGGATTTTAAACGGGAAACCCCACGGTACCACTAAAGTTCGTATACGAATTTTAACATGCAAATGAAAACTATAATGAGCTCGTGTATGCGCTACGTCACAGTTTTAAAGTTGCTATCCGAACACAGCAAATGTGATATTTTCTTGTGCAAACACACTTTAACCGTTTAAGCTTCACGGTGCACTAAACCTGGGGTTCAGTAAAAGTAATAATCTCGTAAAAAGATTAAATTTGTATGAAAACATCTGTTACAATGCGGAAATATACCGTTAAATTAGGACTGCTACTTATAGTCATGATTGTTGATTTAATATTGATGTACGGATGATCCGAAGGCGGAGTTTCTCATGCAAACAGAAATTGTATTTCCCATTTTGCCACAATGAGGTTACCTATTTTTATGCTAATAAAACTCATTTTGGTTGTTTGGACACCAAAATAAGACCTGGAGTCGATATAAAACCCAATTTATTAATGAAATGTCGCTATTTAGTTTTTTATGAAATTTATTTAATGTAACTTTAATGACTACATGTTTTAAATCAATTTCCTAAAAAGTAATTGTGGAATGTGTTTGCATACCAGTTGTTGTTTATTTATTTTCTAAAACATACTTGTTTCCACCTTATTCACTATTTAACAAATGAATGAACATCACAAGCTAGACCTTAACATAATTACAGGTGTATATCAATCACTGTCCAATGATCTATATCTCTCACAATAAAGGTGTTGATAGGATTAAAATACTGAAATAAGGTGTTAAATTTACAAACACTTTTTAGCTGATAAACATAAAACATAAATTGCAGTTAATATTAAACACATTCTTTTAATAATCTTCATTAAGAAATATTATTAGATTAAGTCAAAACTTAAATGATAACTTATAAAAATAAAATTGGGGGAGAACTGTCTGCATATTTCAAATTTGGGAGAGAACCGTCGGGGGAGGAAACGGTTTGGGAGAGAACCGTCAGGGGGAGGAACTGGTAAGGGAGAGAATAGTCTGTCATTCCACTTATATACGAGACATCGATGCAGAATAAGTACAAAATTGTTGTATGCTCGTCCTGCAGGAAACAGCTTGTGTTTTAGGTTATGTATAATTTGTGCACTGTATAAAGCTCTAAAAGCATTGTTATCTGGATATGGGCAGGGCATTTTTGTCAAAAGTGTGAAGGAGCCTGGGCCTGTTCATTTTGTGGAACAAAGCGCAATTTATATCATAAAATTATGAAAAAAATGACAAATTATTTGGCATTTCGCGACATTTTGAAGCTATGAACGCTTGATTATAATTTCTGACCTGTGTAAAATCTGCTTCAAGTTGGTATTTTAACCCAGTTAACATGTGCAAAAACCAATGATTAAAACTATTTCTGTGTTATTGCAATAAGCTTAAATGAAGCTTTACCGGAAGGTAAACAATGTATTTGGAAGACAAAGGCCCAATATTTCTTGAAATCTTTTTGGAAATTGTGAAAGTTTTTCATGGGGTTTGTGAAAAAAAGGGAAATTTTGAATTGTGAAGGGGCCTTATATGGGCCGTGTTGTAGAAGGGAAAAAAAGCCGTGATGGAGTGTGTCTGACAATGCTCTAAACAGTGCGTGATTTATAAATAACCTAAAACACATGCTTTGTTTCCGATTTTGGTTTGTTAAAGTTTGTCGATGCAGTAGAACTTCACTGATGCAAGAGAGCGCTTAAACTTCTCGATATTCAGACTATTCTCTCTCTTACCAGTTCCTACCCTGATGTTTCCTCTCTTTCCTCGCTTTATACAGTGCTAGCCAAAACTTCTAGCCGTATGTGAGTCACATACAACTAGCCAGGACTAACCTGTATTATCTAGCTGTATGGCAATTTTCAAAATTATATGAAAGTCGAAAATGCATATGTTATTTTGTGTCTTTAAACAAGTCCCCACATTTGTCCTTGTGTGTTCACTTTAATAAAGATGCTCCTCTATTTTGTAAAAAAAATTAATACAGAGATAATGCAAGCATTGTAATCTTGATAAAAATGTCAAAGTTGCATGTTATAAGTTATAATGTCGTTGTTTTTCATGCTGATGATTTGTGGTTTTCATTTATTAGTATGAAAGATGAATTATTAAATGATTTTTTGTTAATTAAGCGCATAGATTGAATAAATAATCATAACGGCAAAAGAAGCTTTTTCATAACGGCATGATTGGAGTGGAATAAATGAATAAATAAATAGATAAATAAAAAGAACATTGAAAAAAATGAGGAAAGCAAAAACAATTGTATAATTTTTTAATACAGTAGATAAATATCGAACATAAAAGCGCAATCAATTTTCCTTAAGTAAAGTCTATCCAGGGACTGACAATAGAATTTTAGAATGCGTTTCACAGAACATGCAACTTTTTCCTAATGATGGACAAACTTCTACTGTCGGTAATTTGACGCAATTATCAGAGCTCAACAATAATTATTTGCGGTGTTTTTAAAGGTGTTGAAAATTAAACTTATTGAAACAAACGAGATTATTCTCAAAATTTTTTACGGCTAGCCACTTCCTATATTTTAATATCTTGAAAATCAAGTCAAAATTGCCACTGTCCTGCAGGACAAGTGGCTCTGAAAAGAATTTTTGATCTCTGATTCCGACTCTGTACTATCGGCGTACGTAACTTGTCTTATATGTCTGCATTGAATTTCATTGATGAATTTGATAATCAATTGAATTTGATAATCAATATTTTTTGTGAAGCATAGGGATAAGATGCTTTGATCTGATATCATCCCCTATCACATCTCATTGTATCCAGTTCATCCCTAATAATAAGATTTCAAAATACTGTTTAAAAGATCAAAATTCACTTTTCTTGAGCTGATTTCATAGTTTTTTTTATTGTAATATACTGTATATTAATATTTTTTCTATCATTGATCGCCTTGGTCATTGTAAATGTTGTCAGTTTATTATGTAACATTATGCTGTTAAAATTATACAGCAGTGTAAACTGAAATATGTATAAGTGAATATGAATAAACATAAAAGTGATGAGACTAATATGAAGTAGTGGTGAAAGTTTGTCAAAAGAAGAGGGGCTTAAAAAGGGCTTAGCCCTTTTAACAGAGCCCAGAATCATCCTACAGGTATTACTAATGTAATTCTATATTAATATTTCCTCTATTTCCCAGGGTCCTTAATTCTGAAGGAATCTTGCAGGAAGATAGAAGGCTGAGATTTTTTGAGCGCCCATGTCTTCAAAGGAATAGAATATGTTTTGAGAGAGGGAAAAGAATTTACAATTCGGAAATGAGTAGGAAAATGAAATTTCTCATGAAAAAGAACAGGGCTGATCCATTCCCAAGATGACGGCAGAAAAGACTGAGAAAAAACCAAGACGTTGATACAATAATCATCCAAAGTTTAAGTGTTTAAAAATATAATTGCTCTTTTTGTGGAATCTATGAATTATGCCCTAAGTTTATATCAAGAAACAGAGATAGTGAACAAAAACACTGTGATTCTGATCCAATGTGTGTTGTTGCTTGTGGCAGACTGTGAAAGTCAAACAAAATTATAATTGATTCATTCATTATGTAATAAAAATAAAAAGGCTATGTTTTGAGTATTTGTTAGTTGTTTTGCCAAAATTAAGAAACATGAGATTAAATTTGGACTGATTGTGATATTAGAATAAACATCTGCAGAAAAAAACTAGAAACATGTCCATATGATACTCCACTTTTTAGTGGAATAGAAATGTGATCTATGAATTAAAAGCTCAAGGTGAGCTTTTGTGGTCACAATTTGTCTGGCTTCCATCGTTTGTCAGTGCGTCTATGCACCTGCCATCAACTTTTTATGAAAAGACTTCTTAGAAACCACTGGGCTAAGTTTGATGAAATTTTCCCATGAAGCTCTACTGCTTCATGCTAGGAATATCCCAGGAAAATTTCATCAAACTTAGTTTTGTTTAATTTTGTTAAATTATAGTCCTGGGGGTCAAAATTGGCCCCGCCCCTGGGGTCATTTATTTTTATTATGTACATATAGTAAACAATTTTACATTGGTCAGACAGGTTGTTTGAATGATTTCCAGTTCAGATTTGAATAAGGGTCATCTGAGGTCTAACTGGAAATGTGTCCATAGGAAACTGGTGCCCCCACACTCCACTGTTTTCTCAATCTTATGACTTAAGGTCAAATACTTTTTGGGATACACATGACACAAGTTGAACACTACAAATCTTTTACTTAGTCAAGGGCAAGAACTTTACAAATACTGAATAAATCTACAAGCAAAAAGGTGCAAAAGTACATATGCTGACTAACATTCTTGTAAACTTTCAGGCCAAAACGTCAAATACTTTTTTAGCTATGCACAACCCAAGTGTTGAAGACTGCAAATTTTAACTAAGTCAAGGGCAAAAACACTACAAATACTGGATAAATCCACAAGCAAACCCCCAGATGCACAACTAGACATGCTGACCAACAGTTGTGTAAAGACTCTGGGTCAAATACTTCTCAAGTGACACTCTGCAGAAATTGTCGATTCCAAATTTTTACATGCTGCAGAAATTGATAACTGCAAATTTTTACATGCTGCAGAAATAGATAACTGCAAATTTTTACATGCTGGAGAAAGTGATAATTGCATATTTTTACATGCTGCTGAAATTGATAATTGCATATTTTTACATGCTGCTGAAATTGATAATTGCATATTTTTACATGCTGGAGAAATTGATAACTGCAAATTTTTACATGCTGCAGAAATTGATAATTGCATATTTTTACATGCTGCAGAAATTGATAACTGCAAATTTTTACATGCTGCAGAAATTGATAATTGCATATTTTTACATGCTGCAGAAATTGATAACTGCATATTTTTACATGCTGCAGAAATTGTTAATTGCAAATTTTTTATTGAGTCAAGGGCATCGACTCTGACAAAACTGAATTAATCCACACACGAAAAGACAGGTGCAAAACTTGATATGCTGATCAACATTTCTGTACAGTTTGTTGACTAGCTTAACCTTTTCCCTGATAAAAGCGTGTTTTGACGGCTTTTTGCCCCCCCCCCTTTTTGAGGCCTCAAACAGTGACACAATGCCCTATTTAGGCCCCAAACACTGTTTTTCATTTGAGAAATGTTGTTAAAAAAGTGACCACTTTTTCGGTGTCCCTCCCCCCATCAAAATAATACATCACGGGGTTGCCAGAAGGGGGCATGTCATCGCCAAGAAAATTTTGGACATGTGACAGGCTAAAAATGACCAGAGGTCCATCTTAAGGTGACGTGTAACCAACGCTCAAAAGCCTTTTACTCTAACTCATTGCATTGAGAAGTTGCAGCACTTTGAAATCGGCTTGATGGCAAAAAACAATGCAAAAAAGTATTTTTTCGCAATTTTGAGACTTCCTCCCATTGCCATGGTAACAGGAAATTTAAGATTGAGCATGATTGTTGTTACAGTGGTTATGGTTCAGTCAACACATGTGCCAAGTTTCATCAGTATTGAAGCATTTTTCATAGTTTTATAGCAGTTGGAACTTGTAACACGAGGCTTTTCAATGAAAACGGCCATTTTTACAATATGCTCATAGGGTAAAAGGTTAAGCACTTTTAGAGCTACATAAATTTTGACCATTTGATATGACACATAAGAATGCACACATGGACAACAGCAAATCTTAATGCCCCCACCTGTAAGAGTTCATTGTTGTGATATGTGTAACGCCCTATGACGAGGGTTTTCATGTAAATGGTAAAGTCCATCTGTATCATACCTGCCAGTTTAGATTCTTATTGGGCCACTGACTGAATTTTATCATGTAAGAAAACTTCATGCAGGCCCTATATAAGATTAATGAGAGTACATTTCACTCAACAAGCCAAATATTACTGTAAATTTAAGGGAGATAATTACACTAGCACTCACAGGTTGGCATGATCAAAATGCAAATCTACATCTCAAATGGTGAAAGTAATACAAACAACACAGCATAGTTAGGAATATTTATTTTTGTTTGTATTCATGCACAATTTTCCTAGTATTTAAGAGCTTGACATTTTCTCCTATAGAATATAACAAAATCAACATGATACACTGTAATAAGGTTATGCAAATACAAACATAGATTAATAATAACTAACAAAACACATGGCTATATTTTGATAAAAAATTTTGTTCTCGTAAATTGCTTCCAGTGATGTTGATCAGATCAAAGTATGTTGGCACCAACTAGTTAATGTTGAATCATATCTTAATGGGACTGTACACAGTTATATGTATCAAAAAATATATAAATTTTATATCAACATAAACATAATATTATATAGGAAACTAACATATTAAACAAGCATTGCTTTCCCCAAACAATTCGTCAAAATTTAAATACACTGGCTATGCAAAGAATTCCACTTGATTCAAATACCATTCAATACACATGTTATTACAATGCCTAGCTAGCTTTCAATTCTTTAAATAGTTTTTTTTATACCTAAAATGGAGTAATATTTCAACATAATCAAAGTGGCTTTATGAGGCATTATCATTAATATATATATAATATAATATTATATACATATATATATAAATAATATAGGAAGAACTTGAGATTTATAAATGTCCTATGTCCACACACTACAAAATTCATCCTAATGAAAGAAAACATACTTCTCCGATTAAAAATATATTTTTGGGTTAAAATTCACAAAACCAAAGACAGAAAACCAGTCTTGAAAGAATGGAGCCATTTCATTGGTCAACTTCAAACATGTGCTCGTCATTAACCAATCAATGAATGCAATTTCAGACTGGTTTACAATCTTTTCAGTTTTTGATTAAAATTTCAAGCCTTGATCTACTGTCCATTATGTAATAAGGCATCTATGGCTATAATTGTGAGATAATGAAAAGCAGAAACGAACGTGCTGATAAATGATTGGTCAATAAAAAACCATCAAACAATTAACAGATATGACTCTAAAAGAATGAGCAGCAATGAAGTAAGTGGATTTACACAGACTTACTATATAACAAAAGTCTCAATAAAAACCTTTTCTCAGCCTGAACACTTTCCAGTTTAATTAGATGAAAATACAAATTTATATAAACCTATCTTCCACATATACAGAAGCATTTAAACAAAACAAAAAAAATGAAAACTAATTTTTTTTACTTCCTTTTTTTCTCGACTTGCATAATTACAATATAATACTTTTCAATGAAATGATATGTAAAGATGGTAAAAAAATAAAAATCTTATTTCTTGTAATTTTTTTTGTTAAACTGACAGAAGTTTCTTTTTATGGTAAAGAATGGCGTCAATCCTTTAACAACTCTGAAGCTTTCACAAATACTTAAATACTTGTAATATCTTATCTAGAACAAATAAAAAAAAATACAAAGAAACCCTTCTGGAAGTAAAAATTGTAATATTTCCTTATGTAACCAATGGTTGGTAGTTTGGACCAAATCCTGACAGTCTACCAGATAATTTTAGTATCAGAAATCAATCATCTAGAAAGTTACAAACATTGGGTTTTTTTTATTGTTGTTTTTCAAACTACAAACTATTTTTTCCATTACGGTAGTTGTAACAAGCCAAATTTTAACATGTGATTACTTGCAAACAAAACTGAAAAAGTTAAAAGATGATCCTTCAACAGTAATTGTATTTTTAACTTTGTAACATCTGGAAAAAAATCTTTTAACACGAACAAAAAGTAACAGCTTAATTTTAAATATTTAATATTTACATTCATTTTTTTCTCAAAACCAGGAGAATTCTTTTTTTATTTAAGAATATAGAAAAAGTTCTACTGAAGGTGCATGACATACATATATATATGTATATGAATGTATAACATAGAAAATAATGTAATAATAACACTACAAAAATAATATTTGAAAAATCTAACAAAAATGTTTTATAAAATGTGCCCATTTTTTTCATTTCTTGTATAAAAAACAACAAAACAGTACAATTACTCCAGCTCCAAATATAATTATATACATTAACAGAATTAGTTAAGTAATTTTTGTTACTTAAATTACCTAGATTTACATATTACAGACTCGATTGTAACAATGTTGGAACCGTTTTCTTAATGTCTTTCAAGTCACTGATATCCGAAATTTGTACTTTTTTGAGGTACAATAACAAATGAAAGCTTTTTTCTCCTCAAAGAAATCCTTACGAGTAGAATTAATAAAATACATGTGCTATACAAACAAGGAAAAACTGTAAAATGATGAATATATCAAGGGTGGTTAATTTTTCATGGTTTACATTTAAGTGGTTACAATAGACAATTTCTTACACTCTCAAAAGTACGAAACTCCCAATTTTGCTAACAATACAAGAAATCAAAGACTTTGTACAAAATGAAGGGATATCTAGAACTGAAAGATATACATCTATTTTGCAAAAAGAAATTTCTTGTAGAAAATTATAACGTAAACCATGAAAATTTAATTACCCACGAAATTTTACATTTTACAGTAATTGCATAAAACTTAGCTAAATCACAGATCCTTTAAATTTCTTTCCGTATATAAAATTTAATATGATTACACGATAATCTATATAGGCCAAAATAAAACAGCACTTTTATAAGGACTGAGCATTTTTCTTAGTAAATTTTGACTACTCCAGTCATTATTCTGAAAACAAATAATATGTTGCCGATTACACGTTAATATATACTCTATGCAGTTTCCTCAAAATAAGAAACCATAGCAACATGGCACCTGGAGAGTAAATGATTTTAAATATTCCGAGTTCTATAAATAAAATATGTAAATAATTTCTGCTCATTTGTAGAATCATATAAATTTCAGTCCTTTGAAGCTTTGATCTAAATATATTTTATCAAAAGAGGAATATAAGAGTACTTTTTCTAAAAAAAAAATGTATAAAAAACAATGGCCGCCTTTTCTTGTTCAGCTATATATAGAGACAGTTACTTGTATACAAAAGAAAACAACAATATTTACACACATTATTATTCCTAGGCCAAGCATACTTTAACCTCCCAACGTTACACCACCCACTCCCCTACCCTCTTATAGTAAGCCTTATTGTAAGAAATGAGATGGAAATAAAGAATTAAGACATTTATCCAATTTCTTCTCTAAAATTCCAACTTCCCTAAGTTTATAAATACATTAAATATACAATCCCTGTTACAGTTCTTTCTAGTTTTAAACATTTTGTGACATCTGGAACATTGCCAAAACAAAACAAAAATCTAAAAATAGTTTGTTTTTCTAAAAATAGCATCAAATCAAAATAATTTGCACTTAGCACCAAAGTAAAATTATAAGGCCAATTTATATACAATGTACATATAACAAGCAAAGTATTTGTTCATTAACAAATTAGACAGCTTTAGAAATGATTACACAAATACCATGAAAAACTTTTTAATCATTGTTCAGGTTTACTTATTGCCTCAATTCCAGGATATTAATGTGTCGTCTGCACTTTACATGTTTTAATAATGAATGATGATGTAAAAGCTTCACAAGGTACAAACAAAATAAATTTTTTGGCTATTTTATTTCAGCAGATACTGGGTTACCGTCCCTGACAGTCTCAAATGCCCATCACTTTTTCAATAACATGGTTTCCAATCTTATCCATTTTATAACTTTTTCATTTTTCTCTCATATTATTATTATCATTAAGAGGGCTTTAAGAAAAACAAGAGGGCCATGATGGCCCTGAGGTCGCTCACCTGTATATAGGCCCCCCCCCCCCCCCCCAAACGTTGCAGGGCCAATTTAACCAAAGGGCTTTTATTTGCAAAAACTTGGTAGACACCCATAAGAAGATGTTTCATGCTTAACATCTAAGCTCTAGCTCATTGGGCTATTTAAAAAAGATTTTTTTTTAAGTTTTTACTATACACATATAGTTAAAAACAATGACACCCCTGGGGCCGGGCCAGTTATGACCCCAGGGTTTTTTTTGAACAAACTTTGTAGACACTTACTAGAATATGTCTCATGCTTAATATCTAAACTCTAGCTATTTGGGTTTTTTTCAAAGAAGATTTTAAGTTTTTGCTATACACATATAAGGAAAATCAATGACCCCGGGGCGGGGCCAATTTTGACCCCAGGTCTTTTATTTGAACAAACTTTGTAGACACTCACTAAAAGATGTTTCATGCTTAATATCTTAACTCTAGCTATTTGGGTTTTTTCAAAAAAGTTTTTTTAAGTTTTTGCTATACACATATAAGGAAAAACAATGACCCCCGGGGTGGGGCCAATTTTGACCCCAGGGCTTTTATTTGAACAAACTTGGTAGACACCTATCAGAACATGTTTGATGCTAAATATCTTAACCATAGCTCTTTGAGTTCTTTAAAAGAAGATTTTTTAAGTTTTTACTATATGCATATATAGGGAAAATCAATGACCCCCCGGGGCGGGGTCAATTTTGACCCAAGGGCTTTTATTTGAACAAACTTGGTAGACACTTATTAGAACATGTTTAATACTAAATATCTTAGCTCTAACTCTTTTGGTTCTTTAAAAGAAGATTTTTTAAGTTTTTACTATATGCATATAGGGAAAATCAATGACCCCCTGGGGCAGGGCCAATTTTGACCCCAGGGCTTTTCTTTGAACAAACTTGGTAGACACCTATTAGAACATGTTTGATGCTCAATATCTTAGCCATAGCTCTTTGAGTTCTTTAAAAGAAGATTTTTTAAGTTTTTACTATATGCATATAGGGAAAATCAATGACCCCCCGGGGCGGGGCCAATTTTGACACCAGGGCTTTTATTTGAACAAACTTGGTAGACACTCACTAGAAAATGTTTCATGCCAAATATCTAAGATCTAGCTCTTATGGTTTTTTTAAAGAAGATATTTAAAGTTTTTTCTTTCGGTTGCCATGGCAACCAGAGTTCTGCATGGAATTAAATTCTTTGAACAATTTTTAAAGGTGACCACCAAAGGAACATTCCTGTGAAGTTTGGATGAAATTGGCCTTGTGGTTTATGAGGAGATGTCATTTAAAGTAAAAGTTTACGGAGAACGGACGACGGACGGACGACGGACGAAAAGCGATCACAAAAGCTCACCCTGTCACTTTGTGAACAAGCAACATAGAATTCTATAATATATAAAATCTTTATTGGCCCCAATCATAATGCAAAGACTTATCACTTCTTCAACACACTGGTCCCATCAACGTATAAACATTGTTAACAGTAAAAATTAGTGATATATATATAATATATATAATATATAATTACTATGAAATGTTTGCATGACAAATGGTCCATCAAGGAAATGGAGTAGCGTTTCTCGATGAAAAAAATTTCCGAGAACGCTAGCGGCTTTTTCTAAACACCTTTATGCTTTCCATAACAATCGTTCTCATAACAAAAATTATGTTTGTTTTATATCAGTATGGTTCCATACTCCATCAAGATTCAAAAGAATTTCTTTAACGATAGAAATGACGATGACTGAACAGGTTTTTTTAATCTTCTTGCGCTTGCTGAGCTTTCTTCCAATCAACGGTCATGAGGCACGCGAATATTGTCATCACCATTTTAGGCTTCACCTCTACAATATCTTCCGGCAAGGCGTAAATTCGTGCACCAACTTTTCTACCCATTGATATGGCATATTTAGCATTTGACATTTTGTCCTGAAAAACAAAAGTAATAAAAAAGTTGAAAAATCTGTTTGTTCTTTGTTGTTTTCATCAGCAAAATGTAGTTCTACTCAAAATATAATCAGTAGATAATTTGTAGTGAATGCCATGAATAATTATTGATCTTTTGTTTTTAGCCATCATTTCTTTCTGTCACATCAACACAATGTTAAAGATATAATGTTATAGAGCACTCTCCAGCTTCAGTGTTGGAAAAGGACCTCAGGTGCACCTGTGTTAATTTTTTCAGGGACCTGAATTACAACAGAGTAGAACCACCAACCTTCTGTAAGCTAGCTGAATAGATTCCTCACAAGTACCTCAATAACTTGGCCTCAGGACGCCCTAAAAAGTGTCATATACTCTAAACTCATTTTTAATTTGATCTATGATTTATAAAACTTTCTTACCGCCTCATTATCTCCTTCCTTGACAACGTCCCAGTTGACCTTTTTAGGTGCAATACAATCTATCAAATGTAGAATGGTCACTCCATCAGACAGTGTAGGATCCTGGAAACTGGAAATCTGGCATTTTTTACCTCCTTCTGTCAGCTGTAATAAATTTTTTCCATTGAATCAATCTACATATTTATAAGCAATGGATGATAAAATTCTATCTACTGAAGAACAGTGTAACTCGTATGGTTCAGGCCTCAGTAGAACAATACCATCCTCCCAGCAAAACATATTCAACTCTACCCAAAGTAAGACTTTGCAACAAACAAAATCATAATTTTTCAAAGGGTATATAGCTCTGTGGAGGTTGTACTAACACACCCTGACTGCTTAGCTAAATAGGCAAAGTCTTGACAGACCTAAGATTTTTAAACTTTCGAGGCCAGGGTACAAGTTTTTCAAAGACAATATATTTGACGACACAAATACAGCATCTGTTTCAATCATTAACTTGTTTTGAAAATTTACCACTTCAGATTTTAGAAAATCCTATTTTCCATCAAGGCTAAGTTGAAGTAAGGAAACATGGTAAGTCTTTTACACAAATCTGGCACTGTAAAATGTGACATAAGGCAGCAATTACAAGCTTATAATAAAGTTAACTCACTCTCTTGTTTGCCCAACCAGTGATTGCCTTATCATCAATAGGTTTACCATCTTCAGACATCGCTTTGAGCACAGATAAAGTGTACGCTCTCATTAATTGCCACACAAGACCGAGAGTGAGCGTCGGGTTGCCGTCATACAAATCTGCACCTCCAATGCCGGGTAGGGAGAATTTCACCTCCTTTCCTAGATCAACAGCATAGTTGCAGTTGGCTGGAAAAAAAAACAACATAAAAATAACCAAATAAGACTTATTGTACTTTAATATTGACGAGTGACATTTGACCGAAATCTTGTTGCAACCTTTATACACATTATTTAAATTCCGACTCCATCAAAGATAAAACATATCAGGCATCAAATCTACACAAATATTTATTTGACAACAATTATGATTGGAATCAACATCACTCAGACACTGAAAGTAGAATCACATGGCGATTTCCAGTTTTACAGGCGGAAGAACACATTGGTGCCCCTTTGTCCACTTATGGGAACTTGTGTAGAACCTGTCATTTATCCATTATATTACTGGATGACTGTTTCACATGAAAAAAGCAAAATTCTTCGGAAGGATTCAAACAAACCGCAGAGTGAGGTAGGTGATTAAATGTTCTCAAGCATCAACACTTTGCACTCAAGACCCGAACACTTTCAAAATTTAAACTGGAGTCAATAATCATGAAAACAAGGCTGGCTTAGTTTTCATAAATAATATATAAACCAGTTCCAACTGAACAACTTTTAACTTCACTGATAGCAATTTCTCTCAACTTACCGATCATTTCGAATTTGGCCCCAAGTTTCTTAAATGTTTTAATGACCTTTTTCCAGTCAACACATCCTTTCTTGATGATGTCGTAAAGTTGGAAGTAGATTAGGCCGTTCTGAAGATCACTGTATAATCGGTTAACATGTGGATTAACACCCATACTGTTCATCCAGTTGCGATATGCTGAAATAAACAAAAACACAAAACATCTGAAATAGTAGTCAGTTAAAAAGATGTATGAAGAAATGGACCAATGACCACACTGACCTCAAGACAATGATGTCCAAGTAAAGTTACCTACATGCTTGAATTCTAAGATATTGGTCAACTTCTGAAGGCAATGTACAGAGAAACATTTAAGAAGCATAGTGTAGGTACTGCAGCTGTATTCTGTGTCAAAATAATTATATTACTACGACTTTAACACATTTTTGGTCATATCTAGACAGGTCAGTTCATCTAACTGGCTTCCCTGAATAACTCACCAGTAATTACTAATTTCTCTGAATGTGGCCCACTACTAATCCCACATCATTACTGAATCAACGGTGAGTGACAAATGACCATTACTTTTATTCAATTCAATTTCCGAGATTAATCGACATGGAGAAATTTCGCCTCGCTAAAGAATGGGAACCAGTGACACCTCAATTACAAACCCATGCTCTCCCTATTGAGCTACATTAGTTAAGATTTATCACATACCCATGCTGATTTTGCAACTAACAAGAGTTGTCGGTAGGACAGCACGCTCGACTATTCTAAGTGCTTGATAGTAAAAGAGCCTTGATAATTTTAAATTTTTTAAGTTCACAAAAGGGCTATTTTTTTTTTTATAAATTCATGTTATAGGCCTTAGAGAGAGTCAAATTATACAGAATTGGCTTGACTATTCGGAAGGTAATGTCGCAAAGGTTTTTTATTGAGTATAATAATACTAATTACCTATGAATACATAAATTTGACAGAAAAGGTACAAAATAAAGGTTCAATAAATTCAGTATTGAACCTACATTCATTCAATATCCTCTATAAGTAAAACAATCATACTTTTCTCTTCTCTAGTTTCTTCAATGATTTCAATGTCCATGTCATCAGGCTTCTCAAGAGCAGGATATGTGTTGAACAGATTGGCTACAAAAGCTAAGTTGAGTTTCGCGTTACCCCTGACAACGTCTTTGCTCGTAATAAAGGCTCGACATTTGATTTTGTCAGCTTCCTTCAACATACTCTCAGCTCTCATCTCATTGTCAACTTCCTGCAGCAGCAGAATATAACAATATAATATTACAATTTGAGCTGCGTCACAACAAAACCAACATAGTGGGTTTGCGAACAGCATGGATCCAGACCAGCCTGTGCCTCCGCACAGTCTGAACAGGATCCATGCTGTTCGCTATCAGTTTCTCTACTTGTAAAAGGGTTTGTAAGCGAACAGCATGGATCCTGATCAGACTGCGTGGATGTGCAGGCTGGTCTGGATCCATGCTGGTCGCAAACGCCTTATGTTGGTTTTGTCATGACGCGGCTTATTTGTTTTATTTTACTAGATACATTTTATTACCATTTTTACAGAGCATTTTAAAGCACTCTCTCTCTCAAAAAAAAATTATAATTAAATTTACATTTCTTTTATAAATCAAAAATTAAGATATTTTTTTTTGCAATGGTAACTGATCAGCAATGCACAAGGAAGTCTAATCTTTATTAACTAGCATTCCAAATAAACACACCCTCTCTCTCCCAACTACCACACATGTCACTATTTTACGTTATTCAGAAGAAACAAACATATTAACTTAATATAACCATTGCTCATTAAAAATTTCCTCAGGCAATATCCTCTAAATATTTCTACCTATATAACTTTGACACTGAGCCTAACATACATTTCTCAATATTTATATCAGTCCATCTTTTGGAAACAAATAATAAATAGGAGAAAACAACTTACCGAAAGTGGATCTAAATTAACTCCAAATTCTTTGGGAGAAATCTGGTTCAACAAGTATGTGTAGGCTTCAGAATCCTGAAGAATAAAAATTTGGCATAAATATCATATATAATACTGCACATTTGAAACGCCACTTTTCATTGAGAAGTTGTGATGTTTATATAGTTATACACACCTGCTGTCAATTTATGAAGAAATCACACTTATTATATACAAAAAGTAAGTTTGCTTATATATCATAAGTATTATAAATTCGTTATAAAGATTCCTGACAGGTTATATGGCCGTATATAAATGGTCAATTGCAATATAATCCTCACCTAGAGGTTCGGGTTATACATGCAAATAGCCGTTCATATTCTAAATGCTATGAAGTGACTTTCTGACTTCTCTGGTAGGGAAAATCAGGACATTATTCTAGCATTTATCCTGCTGGAGTAACTTTTGTCACTGGTATAGAGCACTTCAGTACAGTCTGACCAAACTCTATACTGTTGACAGACTAGCTGTGAATTTATCATCTTGAAAATTGACAGTTCCAAAAAATGGAAATTCAGTAAATTAAAGGTAGGCACTTGGAACTTGGATGGAGCCATCAGTCTTTCACTACCACAGGTTATCATTAACTGGATAGCTTTACTTACATGTAAGAATTCAAGGGATATGTAAGGGATAAACTCAAATGTATGTTACAAGTATTACAAGTTTAATGAACAAATGTAGAAAGTATATAATATTTACGACATTAAGTCAATTATCAAAACAAGCCTTGAAAGTTGTAAAGTTTGGAAAACTTAATTATTTAACTTATTGTTTTGAAAAAGAATTCAACCAAATAAAACAAAACAGTATCACACTCTGAATAAAATAATCTTGAATAGAAAAATTAACAAAAACATTCATTCCACATCCTTTCTTCACATGACAATAAAAACAGTCGTAAGGAGTGGGTAAAAATAATTCTAAGTAGAAAAATGGGAAGACACATGAGATGGGACAGACACAAGAAAAATAGGGGGAAAGAAGCAAACATAAGACAATTGAGAAAAGGGACAAACATAAAGAAAAAACAGAAAAGGGGCACAAGACAGACACAAGGAAAATTGGGGAAACACAAAGAAAATAGGAAATTGGGCGAAATACATGGAAAATAGGGAAAAGGGGAAAACAGAAAGAAAATAAAGAAATGGAGCAGACACAAGGAAAATAAAGAAAATGCATCCACAAAATAGGGAAAAGGGACAAATGTAAACAAAATAGGGAAAAGGGACAAATGTAAACAACATAGGGAAAAGGGACAAATGTAAACAAAATAGGGAAAAGGAGTAAACACAAGGGTATGTTGCGAATTTCTCCTCGTACTGCAGTTTTTACTTAGAGCCAATCACAAAAATCTTGCTTTATTCTTTTTAAAAGGGGAAGTAACCATTGAGAGTACTATGACTTTAGAACTTTATATTATTCCAGCTCGTCAAAACTAAATATCACAGTGTGAAGGGAAACTGTCAAATTGTCAAGGTAAATATCACAGTGGAAAGGAAGGTAATAAATACCACAAAATTAGGTAGAAAATTTATTTGTTGACAATTGGGAAAAGTTAACCTTGGGAAAATCGAAAAATAAAAAACAAACATCCACAGACAATTCAACACAGAACAGAACGATTACACAAAATAATAACTTACACAATCCTTACAAATAATTCATTGATCAAACAAAGCTTTTGTTTAAAGTTTTTTCAAAATAAATTTCAAAATCAAATATAAATTCACAAGCACACAAATCCCAAAAATTTTAATACAAACAAAATATCCATAAAATATATTATGCTCCTATCAAAAATAAGTTTCTGGTAATAAATAACAAACATAATAGGACAAAATTTCCGAAACCTTGTAAACACTAGGTCATTTAGTAATACTGACGGAAGATATTAAACCAAAGAGAGGCAAACACACAGGAAAAAAATTTCATTCTTTTACATGTCTGTGCATATCTAACACTATTAAAATACAAGAACTAAATAAAACTAAATCAATTAAGTAAGCAGTATGATTCTACAAAATTTGGTTAGTGAGAGTAGATTTTAGTCTTTATTTTAGTAATTTCAAAGAAACAACAAGTTATTAATCTTTGCCATCTTTATACTGACGAGGCTCTATATTGTTGCTAGATTACAAAAACTTTAAATTTTCATTCTAATATCCTCAGAAGTTCTAAAAATAGATACTGGGCAAGTCTATTTTTAGAAATTTATCAGGTCAAGGGTTAAATCATTTTAAATTTTCAGTTTGATATCCTCATAAGTTCTAAAAATAGACACTGGGCAAGTCTATTTTAAGAAATTCATCAGGTCAGAGGTTAAATCATTTTAAATTTTCAGTTTGATATCCTCAAAGGTTCTAAAAATAGACACTGGGGCAAGTCTATTTTAAGAAATTCACCAGGTCAAAGGTTAAATCAACTCACCTTAATATCACCACTGAAGTTGCTGATTTGTCTGTTGCAGCCAGCATTGGCAAGATGGTAGTTCACCCAGCGTATCAGGATTTCTTCTGGTGAAAGTTTAAGCAGATCATCAATAGTTTCGTCATCCCTCAGCAATAAAACCAGGCCTGGGTGGTTTTGCAAGTTTATTTCACTAAGCAGACCAATCTGAAAGACGTCATGAGATATAAATATAAATTACATGAAAAATCTGCATGCCACAGCCGGGACTCAAACCGCAGGTCTCTGGATTGCCGGTCCAGTATGCTAACCACTACACTACAGCACTCTTTGGGACTGTCTTGTATGCTAACAACTTCACCACAGCGACTGTTGTGAATTTTCTGTACTAAATGGCCCCGATATATTAAAGGTATTTTCAACTTGTAAATTGTAACATCCTTATTTGAGCCGTGCCATGACAAAACCAACATAATGGGTTTGCGACCAGCATGGATCCAGACCAGCCTGCCCATCCACGCAGTATGATCAGGATCCATGCTGTTCGCTAACCAACCCTATTACAAGTAAAGAAATTGATAGCGAACAGCATGGATCCTTATCAGACTACGCGGATGTGCAGGCTGATCTGGATCCATGCTGGTCGCAAACGCACTATGTTAGTTTTGTCCTGACGCGACTCATTTCTATTACCAGAGCAGCAAGCTATTTATAGCCACATATACAAATGAAGCTGGCTGAATCAAAGTTTTCTGATTATAAAATATTCTTATGGCAACACTTTTATTATATTGTATATATCAATATCCATTTCATTCAAAATACCATGAAACCCCTAATAAATTTATGATAACAAATATAAATGTTGAACAAAAAGAAAAAAACTTCTGCAAAAAACATTTTTAAGGAAGCCTAAAATCTTGACAAGGCTTTCAACTGTGTAACAATGATTTTTATTGTTTAATCAAATTTAATTTAAAAACTGAAAGAGAGATATTTAGGAACTCTGCAAATGAAGTTTTTCCCTGTACAGATAAACATTTTACAGTAGTAAATACAGTATATTGATAATAAGCCTAAGGTGTTGATCACTCTATTTTGAATGGAGGTGCACTATAAAACTAAAACTGAAATAGTTTGTCTGTATCCCAGAATTGGATGGGAAAAACCCACCATTCGCTGTGTTCCCGATAAAATCTATTGAATTTAACTGTTTCAAAACTCACTTATATCAACATAATCAAAAAGATAATCTTACGATGACAAAAAAAATGAGGTTTCTTACCCTAATAATTTGCCATAAAAGACCAAGCACCAAATGTGGTTTTCCCTCTTCCAAATCGGAATGCCCAATATTTACTACGTTACATCCAATAGACTGAGCGGAATTAAGGGCAAGGTTATGGTTTTCAGTTCTCGTATATACATTCAATTTTTGCTTATTGATTGTTCTTTCGTCTATAGTGTCAGGCACTGATTTGTTGATTAATTTGCTGAAAACAAAACATTCCGCAACATTAATAGTTTTACAAACTTAAAATCTCGGCACCAAACGACAACAGTGAAACAAATAAATTGTTGTTTTAATTCACCCATGGGGTCGATATGACACTCAATTATATTATTTGAATAGCAATTATATTAATGGATGTTAATTTGTTTTATTAAGAGAAAGTTTTAAAAAAGGGACATTACTCTGAGGATTATGAAAATCTATTTATAGCCTCAGATAGCCAAGATATTAACAAAAATGTGTTAAAATTGACGTAAAAAAACAACAGATAAACAAAAATATTTCAGCGAATAATCTGTAGATTTAATGCTATCAAAACTTGTTATCTTCTATTTATAGTAACAAACAATTAGTGGATTCTTACCATAGAAGAATACCATCCTTCACTCGAGTAAACAAATCATCAGAATCTGGATTTATTGGTAAAAGATTCTTACAGTCTTCATCATCCTCCAAATTTCTGAAATTAGAAAAAAAAAATTATTTTTTCACCAAATTTTGACCTTGACCTCTAATACGTATAAAGCCTTTTTTATGTGTCTTTGAAAATGTGTGTGTATTAAATATTTGTTTAGAAAATTTTTACTTTTTTTAAACGCACATTATGCCTCAGAAATAATAAATTTTTACTTCTTTAGAAATGGCTGAACCGAATTTTACAATGTTAAACTAATAGTATAAAGAGCATATTGGATGCTTGTCAATGGTAGAAATTAGCACCAAATGTTTATTAATTGTCAGTGAAGTAGCAAAATGTAAACAAAGTAGTATTTTGACTTCCATACAAACATGTTAACTCACTATAACTGTTCTTATTGCCAAGAAGCAATGGAAGAAATAGAATGCTCAGGTAATTAACTAAAGAGTAACTTTTTGGTAACTATAAAAGTGCACCAAAATAAAAAGTTATTGAAAATAAATTAAAAGCATTTCTGGGGCAAAATGGGCCTTTAATTCAGACCGAAAAGTTATGTAACAAGGGATTCCTTGTTTCTGCGCCAGTATAATACTCCACTAATTGTCAACACCTGTTTAGAGCAATTGCATTAACAAAGAATCAACAAAAAACCTTTAACTTGCTGAATTTCTTAAATGGACTTGTCCAGCTTCCATTTATGGAATGGTCTATAATCAATTTTGGGGATGTCAAGATGAAACTTTGAGAGTTCGTCCTTCAAAAGTACGAACCCTGGTCAGACTGCACTATCCTAGCTGTATACTGGTGGCAAAGGATCAGCACTTTTAATCAAGCAGGTTAAGTATAAGTTAGGTATTTGGTACAAAACTTTAATGCGTCTGCTTCTGGTAAGATAGGTCTTCTGCTTGATTTTGATTGGTGAAATATAACAGTTGTGGAGAAGTTGATAATATTTGGTGAGTAATCTATGGAACAACCATTGAAATGTGACCAAAAATGTGTTCAACTTAAAAATCAAACAAACAAAATTAAAATGGGCCTCAATGTGATTTGACCTATTTTCTCACCTGTTTATCCAATCAGCAAAGGCGTATCTTTCGGAATCTTTAACAGAATGTGTAATACCGTCTGAACTACCAACTGTTTGTTTAATGTCTGTTCTCGACGATATAGACTTTTTAAATACATGGCCGAAATCCTGATCTTTTTTTAATTTTATGTATAGCTGAAATAGAGAAAATATACCTGTATAATTATAGAGCACAAAACTCATGAGCATGAGCATTGCAAACAAAATGATAGGGAAGACTGTGACCTAACATCATTCTTCAAAAGCCATTATAAATAAACAAGGTAAATAAAAATAATCTGGCTCAGTGAGTCAGGCAGGCCATGATATTAATTACTTGTATTAAAATTTGTGACCAGTCCTTAATTGTGGCAATCTGATCCGAGTGGTTAATGCATGGGACAAGTGATCTAAGGATCAATAGCAGGGTGGGTTCAAACCAAGTCACCGACCAAAGAATTATTTCCTTAAGCAAGAAACTTTACTCATATTGCCCAGCACTCGTTAGTTTAAGGAACAGACTTAAGAATGTGTCTAGAAGCTTTATATAGCTTCCTACACTACCTGAACTAAAATAAATTTTATAAAATAACTTTACATTTTAATAAAACAGGTTTAACTGTAAATGATCAAAACATTCCTTACAGATTTAAATTCTTCCATATCAAGTTTCCCATCTCTATTTGCATCGCTAGAGGCATAGTCTTCTTGCAGTTTCCGCACTTTGTACATGGGCATTTTAAGTCCTACAAGGTCCAACGCTGTACCCAACTCATCCAAATCAAGTGATCCATCCCCATTGGCATCCAACTGTAATATACAATAGATACAAAATTGATATTTCGTGTCAATAATATTATGATGCATTCCATCATAAGTACATTTTGTGAAAATCTGTCCATTGGCTTCATATGAAAAGAAAGCGTTCAAAATTTGTTTCTCCTGTTAGTTGCCGTTGACCATGAACAGGTCTAAGACTAAGAAAAAATATACATGTATGTTAATATACTAAAAAGTGTCATCAAAGACTTCAATACCACAGTACCGTATATAAACAATAAAACAAGCCTACTTCCTGTTATTGCAAGAAAGGTACAGGTTAAAATATATAGGCTCCTAGAAAGGTACAGTGATCAGATGTAGAGTGTGCTTGTAATCTCAAGACAAGGTTCACATTCAATTATATATGCTGTATTGTACATGATTTGTTTATCAGTACTGTAATCATACTAAGTTTGACAAAGATCTATGCAATGACTCTAAAGAAGACGTTGACCAGCATTTCTATTTTAAGTTCCATTTTACCCATTGAACTATAATATAATCTAAGAGAAGACTAATCTACACTGAAACATTCCATTTAGTTTGGTGAAAATCTGTGCAATATTCTGACATGAAAGTGTTCCAAATTGTTTCTATTTTTAGCAGAGTTACTGACTACCAATATAAATGGGTATATAGTTGATAATAGATATTTCATCAATCCTTACATCATTTCATTTTATCAATCACTATTGATACTTTATCAATCAAGTCGACCAATTTTGCTGATTTCTGTATGTAATATCATTTGTGTCTTTTGTAAGGTCACAGTAATTTATTTGATCATTATTATATATGAAAATCAGAAAAATTGGAGCAATTTTCTTTAGATTACTAGATTACATTGAATGAATTGCTTCAATACAGGGGACTTTTTATGTAGGGCTGTCTTTTTTTGAAACTTGATATATAAAATGAAGGTAAACATGGATAGAAGGAGAAGTTTACAATGGGACGATTTGTTCATCAAGTCAAGTTTGGACTAAAGACATTAAAAATGGGCTTTGAAGAGAGTAACCTAGGTATTTCAGCCTTAAACATGCAATATAAACCGTTATCAGTCGGGAGCAGGTGTGAAAATTGTGGGCGGTTATAATGGGTGGTGTACATGTACTTAAACCAGAGGGTGTGTCAGTATTGCCAAGCAAGTGGGTGAAAAAGATCCACAAGAAAACATGAAACAATTTTACATTTTCATTTTTTTTACAAAACAGATTGGTCATCTTTAAAGTTAAATTATGACATAGTTAAGACCAAATTTTGATTATCCAGCTTTCAAATTTAAAAAAATCCAACATTTAACTGGCTTTAAGTATTACATCAAGCAAAAGTGGATACCAAAGCAGACCCTTTTATCTTCAATATGTCAACACAAAAAACTAAATAATAGGTTTAATATACTGAATCAGTGACTGTTACCAATCTGCCAATGAATATTTTAGTTCTCACACCAGTTATGTAACTCGTGTTGCTTTGACTAATTACTTATTTATTTACATATTTTAATTGAAATTTGATAAAATTCAGGTCAGGATAATTGTTATTAAAGCAAGGTGAGCAAACTGAATTTCATCACTTTGTAACAATTATCTTTGTGTACAAAATCCTTTCATAATATTCAATTTATGTATAATTGTAACTAATCCAAGCTTTTAATGTGGGACAGTTCATTGTAAATTTCAGGGATCAATTCTAAGTCAAAATCTACCACAACAATAAACTGTTTCATGATTTAGTGAGTCTGACCCGGTCAAACTTCCCACACAAAACTTATCTGGCTGTGCACACTGGTTTACCCTGCAATACCAACACCTGAGTTCACAATACCAGTGCTATATATTTCAACATGAAAGAGCTTGGAATGACAAACATTTCAATGGTTGACTGACTCAGTGAATAATTTCCATTTCCTTTACTTCATTCATATTTTATTACCAACCCATAAAAACGAAGAAATTTAGTTAAATTATTGTAACCCTTTTTCCACCGACTAAATATGTTATCTAATTGAATGTTTATGGCAAAATGCCAGAACAGATTCGATAAACCTGTCAACTACATTAATTTGTCAAAAATAAGTTTATTCAATGTTACCACTCCATGACTTTTATCTTTCATATGAACCTAACATGGGTTATTTGAACTTCAAAATCAAATATGACAAATTCGACAAATTTATATTTGACATCCTGTTTTAACTGCATAGGATTACCTAAATAAACCAGATTTTTTTTTATCAAGTCTATATGTAACAGTAAGTAAGTTTATTTGATAAGCTTGTTCAGAGTACAGCGTCTGGTCTTATAGTCTGTCTAGCATGATTCATTCATTTACCTCACAAACCAAACTGTAAGAGTCATACAACAACTACAGAAGACCTTTAGATTACCCCTCCCTGCAATTTTTTAGTTATTGCCATACCATTTTCTACTCTGTCCCACACCGGCACCCACATCAAGCCTAAGAATGCAGAGAGTAGGACTTATCTCAAACTATATTGCCAGCTAAACAGAACCATGGCCTTGCACTGACTCCGCAATTCGGGACAGACAAGAGTTTTAAAGAACTCTGCTAATTTTCCTTTCTCTCTCCCACACTGCCTTGGGGATGGTGGCCATGTGAAATATGTATAATCACCCGGTCTGAACAATGACTAAAATAATGTAAATCCGGCATAAAACCCAACAATAGTGTTATACAATATATTATATGTCAAGTAAATGAAGTAAATGAATCAGATGTTCTGACTTGAACAGGAAGTTAACACTTAAACAATTATCAGATTTTACTATCTTAAATTATTAAGTTAGACACCACTTCTAACATATACACAAATAACTCATGTACACTTTAAAATAAATACAGTGAAACAAATTCATATAAAATTCACAAGCTCCTCACATGTATAGTTTGATTGTAAAGTTTACTGAAATTAGAAATTCAAAACTGAAAGCATACAAACTGATAATAATAAAAAAATTGAAGACCAGTATATGCTTTTTGTGTTGATTATAATATAAAATATGAAAAACAAGCTCAACAAGGAAAAGCGGCGTTCAATGAATAATATAAGCCTAAAAATATCAATAAATTTTGTAATCAGTATCAAAGCAGTCCAGCCTGCGCATCCATGCAACCGGACATGATACTATAAACTTATGACCGACAAAAAGCTTTACTGATATTTTGCCATTTAAGTATAAAGAGGGTCAAGGCCTACACATCAATGTAGTCTATAATATTAAACCATGCCATACAAAAAGTTGCTGATATCTTTAAAACAAATCATGTTTACAGTCGACTAACATTCAGGAAAATGTTCTGAACAAAAGCAAACCATTGGTCATGGAAACAGGCTTTTCAATATTTCTGAACATGCCATAAATTATACCACCTACACACAGGTTGCAACTCTTGGGGAATAAAACCCATTATGATCAAAGCTTGATGAAGACTAATGAAAAACGCAGATAAGATCAAATATGACCTTCCGTAAAAATCGCAAATTCCAACGTAACTCACTGGAAAAAATGACAGAAATTCTTCCATTGCCAACAAAACTAACACAAATAAAGTTCCTACATATAGACAGATTTCTACACAATGTTCTTTATACAACCATATTTTAGTCACATTTAGTTGCCAACATTCTGACCTTTGAAAATGTTAAATATTTCAAGAAACAAACATCATATTTATTTTTCATCCATATATCATTTAAAAAAAAATTGACAAGGCTTGTATAAAACAGGAATTAAAATGTTGTTTTTTTCCTATTTCAATAGTTTCAAGATATTCACTTATATTCTTTTTTTGGGGGAATTGTTATTATTATGATAAAGGAAAAGGATGGACAATTCTTAAACAAACACTTTAAACTCGAAACAGGGAAAATTTAATTTTTCATCTTATTTCTTGCAAAAATAGAGATATAAATCTGTCATTTTGGAAAATACATGTATGACAATAGAATTAATATTCTCTGGTAAACCCCTATTCTGCTGAAACTGACTATGATAATGATAAATCCTTTGCCACAAGTATAGAGCCAGGCCAGCCTGCACGTTTGTGCAGTTTAACCAGGGTCTATACTGTTGGTACATAAATTTTTATACTTCAATATTCAAACCACTTAAATTTTGAATGCACTGTTCCAAAGTCAAACCGGAGCACATCCATTAAACACATTCTGCAGGTCAAGGGCTTGAAAGTATTAAGTAATTCACATGTAAACAATGATTTTATGAATAAACAAACAACATTTTCGAGTTGGGTAATATCACGTAAACAAAATCCTATGAAACGTACCTGACAAAATGGTGAAAACATTCATGTATTACATCAGATAAAACTCTTTTAACTTCAAAGTCGAACAAAAGGGCCGACAAAAACTTGCAGCGGACAAAAAGAAAATGTTTTTATTACAAACAACATGTTTTATCAACAGAACAAAAGGCATTCAATCGACATCCCTGTGTCTAAAATGGTCTGAATGTATCAAGTGTTGCAAAGCATTTTTCACTGCATTTATTAAACCAGTCCCACGTTAATCAAAACACGATTTTTCTTCATTTTTTTCGCCCATCAAATCAATAACTCAATCAGAGATAAGCATGTCTCTTCCTGACCGATTAAGCATTCAAACAGTTTTAACACCTCGCCACTCGAGACGATCATAATCTTCCTCCGCCTTAAAGCTAAGAGGAAGAATTATGGACTTATGTGTACGTTTTATGCAAACAGGTATTTACAACTAAATTTCCATTAAATACTATCCTTTAAAAACTTGTCCCAACATTTGGTCAGAGTCTTTTGTAGTGAATGGCGTAAAGTATTTAAACGACTCTAAATGTATTTTGTTATGAAGTAATCTTAATTCTTTATCTCAAAACTTAAAATACACTTCCAGCTGGACTACCCCAGTGTTGTGAACTGGTGAGAATAATTTTAGTTATGCGTTTGACCAAAAACAGTGATATTTCACAGTT